TGTAACTACCTGGAGGCAGACATCACTGGAAGGGGGCCAGCTTAGAGACTGCCTACCCCAGCTTCCTTCTGATCTTCATATTATTTCAGTAATAACGGACTGTAGGTGTGAAACTCAAACATAATGAAGTGAGAAAGAGAGGACCTTGGAAACAGAAGCCCTGGAAAGGCAGTGTAGTCAACGATTCCTTACCTCACTTAGATCTCACGACGGAGATGAGCCAGGAAACCTACATTTTAACAGTACTCCAGGCATGCTTCAGGCACACTAAGACTAAAGAACCACTTGTATAGTTTTTTTTAAAATTATTTTTACTTTATAAGTTGGGAAGAAAAGGCAGAGAAATTAGGCAAAAATTGGCTGTAGAGGAGGTTAGGAGCAAACTTTTCTTCTTTTTATTTATTTATTTTTGCAGTACTGGGGTTTGAACTCAGGGCTATCACCTTGAACCACTCCACTAGCCCCTTTTTGTGATGGGTTTTGTGAGAGGGTCTCATAAACTATTGGCCAGGGCTGGCTTTGAACCATAATCCTCCTGATCTCTGCCTCCTGAGTAGCTAGGATTGAAGGCGTGAGCCACTGGCGCCCGGCTATGGCACTTTTCTAACCCCCAGCAGCTTCTGCCTGGGCCCCATCCTCTAAATAACTCTCCTGAGCCAAGTGTATTCTCAGGGCAATTGCAAGCTGCTGGAAATGCTCGTGCTCCAATTCTATTTCACAAACCGGACCTCCCTGGAGCAGTGTCCCCAGACCCCATTCAGCTTCTGCCATCATTTCAAGTGATTACTATCCTACTTTGCACAATTACATCCTCCTACCCTGTAGCAGCCTAGAAAGCCAGACTGCCATGGTAGTCAGCGTGTTTGGCAAGTGACTGGTAACACACACAAACATTTTTGATTAATTTTAACATCGCCCAAGGCATCACTTGGCTGTTCACCATCAACAGTAAACACTATTTTATCCGGGAGAAAGTGGAGCCACATGTAGCTGCAGTTTATGACAGAAGGAAGCAGGTGATTCTTACCATCAAACCACTCACTGTGCTGGAAGGCACAGTAACACTGCTTCCAAACCATGCCTTTCCATGCCATGGAGAAAGACTCTCAAAGTATCCCACCACAGATAGTCTCCTCTTAGCCCTCACAATTATTTAATTTATATGTAACCAAGGTCTACCAGCTACTTACAGATGGCGAATGAGCTCTGATCTCAGGGGGAAATGAAGAACCAATACTTGCACAGCTGTTTTTTGTTTTATTTTTGTTTTTTGAGACAGGGTCTTGCTATGTGGCCCAGGATGGCCTCCAGATTGCAATCTTCCTGCCTTTACCTCCCTAGTGCTAGTATTACATGCCCAGTTAGAGCAAGCTAGAGCAGCTTTTACTATTCTTATTGTGTCATTGCTAGCTTTGTCCTTCCATTGAGGAGGAAGGGACACACACTGCTGCTGCTTTTTTAGTTCTTTTTCCCTGCTTTCATTTGTATGACCTATATTTCTGGTAACGGGAAGCCTTGTGTTTACATGAGTGGATTAAGACCGCAAGTTATATTTGGGTAGGCACAACTGGAATAGTATTTTTTAAAAAATAAATTCTATCAACAAATGTTGGGTCCTAATAAGGTGCTTTGATTTAAAATTTTAAAAATTACCATCAAATTTTCCTACTACCAGCTAAAATTCAGAAGTGTAAAATTTGACTTTGTTAGCTGGCCTAATCTGATATGACTGAGCGTTGTAGAAAGTTTGATTCCAGCAGAATTAACTTACTTTTTAACTGTGTGCATAACAAAGCTGAGTCTTAAAGTTAAATTAAGCTGGAGTTGTGGCTCAAATGGTACAACATCTGCTTTGCAAGCATGAAGCCTGGAGTGCAAGCCCCAGACCCACCAGATGTTTAAAGCTGAACTCATAAACATCTCCAAAAACTATATAACATACAGACTAGTCTTGCAGAGCAACTCCAAAATTAAATTCATGAAGCACCCATCATTTTTACCTACTGCTTCTTCATCTTGATGGCATGTGGGCAAAAAGAGAGTCCTCGTTTTACAGGCAGGGATTTAACCTAAATTGCCATGGTTACCCACTGAGGCTGTAGTCAAACAAGAACTAGACTTTAGTCTCTGAGCCTTCAGCCCTGAGTTCTTTACACTAAATATTATTCTAGAAACAAACAGATCACACTGATTGCATTTCAACACACATGACAGACGTAAGGATGCTATTTTTGCTGTTTTCATTGGTGTTCTTTACATTTACTAGAATTATATCATCACAGTGGTTATTTAAGTAAGAAACAAAACCCTGTCTACAAAATCTCACAAGTTCCACACCTTAGGCAAAACTCCACTGGTGTTCAACAAACACTAACATGCCCAGAACAAGCCAGAAAATAAACAACAAAGTCCAGCTTACTTACAGGTGGACAGAATCATGGCTGCCCTTCTGCAGGGGCACACAAATCAGTTTCCAGGTCTTCAGCTATGTTCCACTCAGAAGAACACATCTTTTAACTGAAATAATAGTTTGCCTAAGACAGTTCTCACGGGCAAAGTTAACCCCACCTATTTTCCTGTTCTAAAAACCTCAGACAACTGTGTGAATGACAACCGAATGGCCTATATAAGAAAGCTCAATAATCTACATCCAGCTCTGAGCATAGTTGCAATTATTTCTCTTTCCATGCATGGGTAAGTCTAGCAAACAACATTTTCAAGAAATTCACAACATTTTGGTAAAAGTGACTTTAAAAACTATCAAGTAAAAGGGCTCTCTCTAGACAAAGAATGAAATAATGGAACAGAGAGGACGAGGGACTTCCTGAAAGTCACAGTTAGTGGTAAAAACAGGATTGGATTCCAGGCATGTACTTTACCGCTTGAGCCACACCTCCAGTCCTCTGGATTCTTGACATTAAAATATCAAGTCTAGAGTGTTTTGTCCTCTGACTCAGGATTGACATTTCAGGGACTTTACTTAGGACTGGGGCAATCCAATGATACCCTTAAAAAGTGAATGAAGCAAGGCAGAGAAATATGAAACAACATCAACAGTGCAAAATGTGTTTGGGCATTTCATTTCATCCCACTGGAAACATAACCAAAAATTACCTAATTAAGGGAGTAGCTTTAATAAAGACAATATATTCATATCGAGCTTGCTACTTCCTGCCTGATAGATTAAGATCTCTCAGCATTCTGGGTGGATACTTATTTTTCACATCATTTTTTGCCTTAGCTATGCTCACATATAAAACTGCCTTTTTAAAGTTTTCACTATATTTAGTGAAAGATTTTTGAAGAAAGTGTTTCCAAGTATTATCTGTCTTATTTTCTCATCAAAAGTATTGATGACTGTCGGGGCACGTACTATACTCTCTCCTCACTCTCTTCAGTATCACCTAGTAGTTCCCTCAGCTCCTGGAGGTAAAAAGGGAGGCACAGGAGGGATGGGAGGAGGCAGGTCTGACAGAGGTGGTAAGGTATAGTTTGCCTATGACCAACTGCTTGAAGAAGCTACAAGGTAGTTAAAAGTTGTATGTGTTTTGTGATGGGAGTACAGTTAAAACAGGAAGATGAGGAGAAATGTAGTAGTTTATGACAGGAATTGGGACAAATATTTTACTTTGTTTCATTACAAAGGGTCCAAAGAAAAAGTAACCCAGTCTTCAGCAGATGGGTTGCCTGGCACACAGACTCCAAACCAAAGAGATGGCTGTCCAGGGTCAGGATGAAGATGCTGCTCAGGCAGCCAGCTTTGGCCTGTGTGTTCACCAAATCCTTCACAGTGCAGGAGAGACCTCAGCAGCCTCCAGAGGGAATGGAACTCCCCAAGGAAGGGCCCTCGTCTTCCTCAGCTTTAACCCGATAAATACCAGTAATACTATGATAGAACTCCATCTCTCCATTTTCCTCTGCAGCATCCTGGACTCTTCACCACACTTGACCTTCTCCTGGGCTGTGCTTGAAGTGGGAAGGCCTTTGTTAAGAATATCATTTGATCCTCTGCTCCAGAACCTGACTCCTCAAATCAGAGCATCAATGCCTTAGGCAGAGTCTTATGAAGTAGAATCAACTGATTCCTTGTTTAAATTTCCACTCGAATCCAATTAGCTGTGGCCACTATGGGCAGGATCAGTAGTCCCATAACAGCTTAAGCTAGACAGGCATCCCCAGCCATGTCTACTTGGGTGAGGGGGAATTAGCAATGGAAGGGCTCAGACCTTCTCTTTAGCAAGGCACATTTGATCCCCACAGGAAAAGGAATTGACAGTGTCAGGTACAGTCTTTAATCCTAGGAAAGCAAGATCATATTATAGAATTAAAAGCTTCAATTAAAAAACAACTCATAGCTGGGCACCACTGGCTCACAACTATAATCCTAGCTACCTGGAAGGCATACATCAGGGATATTGTGGTTCAAATTCACCTGTGGGCAAATAGTTCAGGAGACCTTATTTCAAAAAAACTCCTCACACAAAAAAAAGGGCTGCTGGAGTGGCTCAAGTGGTAGAGTGCCTGCCTAACAAGCTTAAGGGCCTGACTTCAAACCCCAATACTGCCAAAAAAAAAAAAAGACAACTCATGTTTCTTATAAATATATAACTTTATATATTATACGTATTTACAATATATACAGCATACAAATATTTTAAAATGTATTACCAAGTATAGGCTTGAAAACAGAGATGTTTTCAAAACAAAAGATGGGTACCTATTCAAGGTACCCATCCTGATTCATCTAGAACTCAATTCTAGACAATGTACCAGGCCCAGATTTCTGTAGCAGTCAAAGAGAAGAGAAGGGCTGCTGGAAGAAGGCTCTTTCCCTTCCCAAGCTCTCTGGCCTTCTACTGGCACCAGCTAACACGGTCCCATGTTCACCCCTAAAATGGGAAACGCCCAGAGTTTGGGCATAGTTCCTGGCACACTGTCAGCACCCAAGTTCCTGAGGAATGAACTGAAGTGAATGCTTTTAATCACTAGCTATACGGCCGGCCCTATCTCCAGTCTGAAAGACAGTCATGGAAATAAGGCTAGTTTAGAAGCAAATGCCTAAGCTGTGTCCATTTTATAAGTAAACCAGTCTACAGATCCAGCTGCCACATAAGTTAAGTTAATGACAAAGTGCCATTTCCTCACGCTGTGGAATCTTGGAGCCACTGGTCACTACACCACTTATCTTCCAAAAGTTTCTTCACATTCAATGAGTTCATCTATCGTCCGCAACAAATCTTCAAATGCAGGCCTTCCCTCTGGTTTCTACAATCAAAAGTCAAAGAGAGCTTTGCATTTCAGAATCCATCCCCTCAAAATTCTCATTGCTCAAATTCCTATGATAGCATCCTACAGAGAGGCATTCTTAGCTTTGGGACTGAAAATTCAGGTATCTTCAAATGCATCTGTTTCTACCCTAACCTACCCTGCATATATTGCTTCTAAACTAGTATTTCTAAGACACTGCTCTCATCAAGGGACCTACGAGAACTCTTAGTGCCTATGAAATCACAGTCCTGCCAATCTGCAGAGCCGTTCATAAATACCCCTCCTCCATCCCTTTATTACCTACGTTCATTTCCCACAAAAAGCCTCAGTGGGCTTTATGCTAAATCAGAGTAATCTCCACCCTCAAATACACACACCATGTTTGCAACCACCTCCTTACCCTTGTTCATGCTCTTCTCTCTCCCCAGTACCACTTCCTGCCCAGTCTGCTAGTCCCAATCAGTGCTCTTGGGAGGGGTTAGAGTGAGAGAGCTGAGGCTTTGGAGTGGGAGGGCCTCTCTAGCTAACTGGTCCTGGGCAACATCACCTCATGAGCCCTTAATCTTCCCAGCTAAAAAGTGGTCATAGGGTTAGTACGAGTACTAAATCTTAGCACGCCACACATGTGAGCTAATGTCATTTTCTTTTAATAATCATTTTGGTATCTACTCTTTTATGAGGTGACACTGAGGTACTTTCAGAGACTGAGTAAACAGACCCAGGGAAGCTGAGATATAGAGGAAGAAACTCTCTCTGGAAAAAGATACTTCAATTCCACAAGAAGAGGAGGGGAGCAACTTCTCTAGGCTTATTCCCAATTTCCTGGCTCAGGCAGCTGTGGGGGGATTCTCACTTGGAAGTGAGGCAACAGCCTGAGTTTACTAAATTAACTACTCATGTTTTCCACTTCTTCACATTCTTTAGAACTGAAATGAGAGGGCTGGCTTCCTACCTAAAGCTTGAAATCACTATAAAACACACACCACCTCACTGGGCTATAAAGATCATACCAAGTCCATCTACTAAGTTAGACCTGTGCATGTTTTGGAGATTTGGTTAAAAAAAAAAAAAAAAAGAAGCATCAATACCTCCTGCCAACACCTCAGCATCACCTCATATACATATATGGACGCCAACTTCGGCCGGTAGAGTCGGTGGCCTCGAGTAACCATGGTTACCACTTCATAATTGGTGTTTTTCTCAAAGGGCATTCTGCCTTCTGTGAATACTTCCCACATTAGAACACCTGGAAAAGAGAAGGGCTACCTAATGACACGTCCAACTCTTTGTCAGAGCAGAGGGGAGGAAATGTGTAACACGGATCTTACCAAATGACCAGACATCTGACTTGCTGCTAAAGCGGCTGTAATTAAACACTTCAGGTGGACACCACTTCACAGGGAATTTGGCACCAGAAGAACTTGTATACTGATCATCCAGAACATACCTAGGGGAAGACACCATGGGTTTACATCTGCATTTTGTTCACGTGCTTTCACTTCTCCCCCTTACAAAGGTGAGTGAAGTCTAAAGGTTTACCTGCCTGGTGAATTCCACCTTCCTGTCAGTGTAATTTTTTTTTTCCCAGTAATGGAGCTTGAACTCAAGGTCTTCACCTTGAGCCACTCCACCAGCCCTATTTTTATGAAGGGTTTTTCAAGACAGACTCTTGTGAAATATTTGCCTGGGCTGGCTTCAAACCACAATCCATCCTCCTGATCTCTGCCTCCTGAGTAGCTACGATTATAGGCATGAGCCACCGGTGCCAGGCCCCTCTCATAAAACTTAAGGGCACGAGAAGGTTACAGCACGTTAGTAGCTGTGCTTTCATTTTTCTGTTTGTCTTTCTTTTTTATTAGGAAATAGAGGCAGAATACAATAAAATTGTTTGCAAATATTTTTTGTGAGAAATTTTGTTCTTTAAACAAAATTTTACCCAATCTAAAGCAGAGCTGTGTAAGGGAAGTGGTGAAAAGTGTCTAGAGACAGAAATGCTTCGAGCCTCCATGATTCTACAGAGCCACAGTAAAACTATAGCACATGAAAAAAAGCAAGTGCTAAGAAAAGGCAAAATGAAGTATGTAAGTAGTGTCATACACAGTTATATGCCACATATACACAGCTAAAGTAATACTGTATTAATTTTCTATGTGCACATTATTTATGTCCTTCCAAAGGACACACAGAAATGTGACATGAATCCTTGATTAGAGTTGGTAGACTTAAGCCCTTTCTGCAATGTGTTCAGTGCACATTTATAAGAGAAATGAATTTATATATTCTAAGTACATATGAAGTTGACTTCTAAAAGCTGCCATGAGAAAAATGTTCAAATAAATGTACAAACTTCCTTTGTAGTGCTATACAGACTAAGATGGTGATGGCGGACAATGCCACCAGGCTGACCCAAATTGTGGTCAGTTAGGGGAGTCCGAATTTAGAGCATAAAGAATGTTTTACAGGGGTCAATGCAAAAGCACAGATTTTCTAAAAGCCAAATACATGAAGATTGGACATATAAAAGTGGAAGTCTGCTCATGAGATGTTGAACATCTTTATATAAGGCAAATCGAGAGAACTTGGTAATTATATTAAGCACTTGGACATAAACACATGCCTGTGAAAACAAAAGATTCTAGAAATTTAATCCACTCTGGAGAGAAAAGAGAAAGAAGCCCTGTATTTAATAAGCTATACTACCATCTAGTGGAGAAAATTAATAAACACCGCAATATATAGTTATTTCCATACATTAATCTGAGAACAGTTAACAAGATATCCTTTCTGCTTCATTGGTGCAAATTATACCCACACTTAATAATGTGAACATCACCTAAAAGCACGTAATACTCAGCCATACCTTGCCATTCCAAAATCAGATACTTTCACAACTCCTGCTTCATTTACTAGACAATTTCTGGCAGCCTGGAAAAAATTATGATGGTATATTAGGTAAAAAAGTCCAAGAATATAATAAAAATATAAGTTCTATTTTCATTAAATTTACTATAATCCAGGCAACGTTTGCAGAGGGTGGAAATGTCTTCTTATAAATTGTTTTCAACCCTATAGAAATGTCTCCAATGTAGACAAGGTAGAAAGTCCTGTTTGCCATAAGGCATTGTATATTATCTTTACCAATGGTGTACTACCATTCTTATAACCAGGTGGTTTCCTTAATGATAGTGACAACATCTCTAAGCCCTTAATCCAGGTTCTTCATAGGTGAGCTTAATAACATACAACCTATGATTGGGCACCTCGATCCCAAACAGTCAAAAGAACAACTGTATGTAAAACACAGTTTTTGTGTTATCATTTATGAGATTTCCAGCATATTAAAAGATGATACGTACATTCAATTGGTCAAATACAAATGTGGATTATTTACTGTATCAGTAATGTATTTAATGTCTTGCTATTTCTTCAAAATTACAAGGTTCAAGAAAATAGTTTGGTAGATAGACATGGCATTTCTCAGCAGGAAGATCTAGTATTTCTAGTAGCAAAACCATTGGCCAAGAAGTAGTTTTCTTGCTGATTGTTTAGAACCTTGTTTTTTATTGAGGCACTCTTGTTATATGAGGTTCTCTCCTGCAGAGTGCATTTAGGAGTCTCTTCTCAAGTGAGAATTAAAGCCAATTCCCTGACTTATCTCCACCTTCCTATGAGGACAACCACAATGCCTCCCCTGGCCAGTCAACAGTATTCTTTGCCAGGGAGACAGAAGCATCAGAATCTTCCTTCAAGGGTTGACACTCACCTACCAAAGCACTATCAGTATCGTGGGCACAAAAACATCAAAAACTGCTTTCACTAAGATACAGTCTGTGTGAACAGTTACAGTGGGTCAGACTCCTGATGATATTCAATGTGTATCAGTTTTATAAGTACAAAAAAGAGGAAGTTGATTAACTCATGAGTTTCAATATGACAAAGAGATACTCTCTGTCACCTCTGAAGATAATATTCATACTAATGTTATCTATCATGTCTACTCTACAAAGCCCTTTGCCTCAATGATACATTGTGATCTATAAAACAGCCTTGTGAGCAAAACACTATTTATAACACACAATTTACAGATGTAGAAATAGGGTCTCAGGGAGATTAGGTAACTATTCCAAAACACAGCTAAGAAATCAAGTCTTCCATCTCCAAACCCTCAATCCTTTATTATGCTTTAAACCTAGAGACAGCATAGCAGCTAAGAGTATTGACTTTAAGCTGGTGCAGTGGCTCACACCTATAATCCTAGCTACTCAAGAGGCAGAGACTGGGAGGATCATGGTTCAAGGCCAGCCCAGGTGGGAAAGGGAGAGTGTGCAAGACCCCATCTCAACCAATAAAAGCTAGGCGTGGCAGCACACATGTGCCTATCCTTCAAGCTACTCAGGAGGCATAAACTGGAGGACTGTAGTTCAGGCTGGCCTGGGCATAACATGAGATCCTTTATTTAAAAAAAGGGCTGGGGCGTGGCTCAGGTGGTAGAGCATCTGCCGAGCAAGCACAAGACCCTGAGTTCAAACCCCAGTACCACCACCAAAAAGAGTATTGACTATGGAGTCAAACTCCATGAGTTCAAATCTTGCCTCCACCATTGACTCGATTGCTGATATTTTGTCCTGTCTGCATCACTGTCTCCTCATTTGTAAAATGGGAATGGTAAATAGTATCTACTTCCTAGGGTTGTCAGGATGATTAAATGAGTTTATATTTATAAAATATTTATTAAAACATCTGTTTGAGGTGACTGTTAAATTAAAAAATAAAATTAAAATGCCTTATTGCTACTCTGGAAGAAATGTGTCCATGCTTTATCACCAGAAAGCTAAAGCTAAAACATGGGGGAAAATCCTAGATGCAAATCACATTTGCTTTGGTGAAAGAATCAAGGTAGACAAACAGAGCTAACATCACATCTGTAAAGAACAGGTGGAGAAGAAAAATATATGGAAAAGAATGGAGGAAAGAGGGTAAAGGCTAAGTGAGAAAGGAAAAAATGAAGAAGTGTCTGCAGCACAGTAATTTAGAACTGGAAACAGATTTTCTTTTCTGGTATTTTTCAGAAGTTAACACAAGTCCCCATCTTTCCCCAATGATCTGAGAGATAAAGGAAATGAACTCTGGATTTCTCTGATCTTTTCTGATTATAGGGTGTGAGGGAGAAAAGAGCTTGGGATTTAGAAGGTCAAGGCCAACCCTACTTCACCATTTATCACATTAGGCAGGCCACTTCATTTCCCTTAAGCTGCCTCGCATCTGTAAAACAATGACGATAATAAACCTGTTATCTCATGAGACACTCCTGGAGATCAGCTAGTGTGTGGACACCTGCTTGGAGATATTAACTCTGTAAATTACTAGATTTACTAAAGAGCTCTCCTTTAAAATTCTGAGGCAGGTGAAGTTAACCAAGTTTAAAAATAAGGGTGAGACATTGTTAAAACAAAAATTGGGTATAATACATCATTGCTCACTGGCTGACCCAGTGTTACAAAAGGAATGTGGCAGCAAGTGGGAACAAAGTGGTTCATCGTTACCAGGTCTCTGTGGATGAAGCTGTTTCGTTCCAGGTACTCCATTCCTTCACAGACATCCTGACACATGCTCAGCAGAACGTCTCTACTGAAATGGCCTTGTCTCTGGCGGAGAAAATTCAGAAGGCAGCCCCGTTCCATGAACTCCGTAACAATATAAATAGGTTTCTGTTGGGTGCATACACCATAGAGCTGTACAAGCTTGGGGTGTGTCAGCTTCCTGGAAGTGAAGACACACACATACACATTTACTACAGGAAAAGAAATCAGCAGGTATATTAGCTAGGGAGGGGCCACTTTTTAATAAAAGGGGAGCTTGGAAGCTAGTAACTTACATCATGACTTTAGCTTCTTCTATAAAGTCCTCCTCACACATGGCACCTTCCCTAATAGCTTTGATGGCCACTTTGTACTGGGCTCGCCACTTGCCAAGCCTCACCACTCCAAACAGTCCACTCCCCAACTCCCTCATAAAGGTCAGCTCGGAAGGGTTAATCTCCCACTTCTCTGTAAAACAGAGGAGAAAGGTCAACAATATATAATAAGGAAAATGACAAGAATCAGTGTAGAAAAGAGAAACTCTAACCAAGACCAACCTTAAAATTTTGGAGAATACTATAATAATTACAGGAAAACATAGCAGAGTTGCAACCTCTAGCCTCCACTTAGGGGATGCCCCTTCTAAGCTATTCCAGTCCAAGGACAGGGAACTGAAGAAGACAGGAAGATGCTGCAAAACAGGCTGGCAAAACCACAGCTGAAAGCTCAGGTACTTTTAGAAGACAAATATTTCTCCTTTAGCACTCTTCTCCCTGGGTTGTTTTTCTTTTTCAATGCCATTAAGTTAGGAAGAATTAAACCTACTATTTAAAAGGCTATTGCCAAAAGCAATAAAAATGGTCAGGTTGGGTTATTATCCTTACATTCCTGAGAATAATCAACAAGGCCAGTGAGAGCCAGGAAGGGAGTGATTTATTGCAGATGTATCATGAGAGTGCTTATTTTCTATCCACGCAAAGGTTTCTGTTAAATTATGAATAATAATGAAAAGAGAAAACCTAGGGTTACTATAGCTATAAAGTTTAATCATCTAAAAACTCACACTATTAATTTATAAAAACAATTTCTCTGCATAGAATTCTACACAGCTAAATTTGTCTTGTGATAATGGATTCTTCTCAAGGAAAATTAACCAATGCAACTACAAAACGAGTTACCATAGCTGAAGCCTGCAGTGGTTGGAGCATTCTTCTCCTTTGTACTAACCGGGTACCGAAGCCTTGTGACAAGACCTAGACATCAAAGAAAGTATTGCAGTTGAGTTTTTTCTTAATTATTTTACATGGTCAAAAGCTAAACTAGAAATGTACTTGAAAAATTCAATTATCAATTTTCTGCTCATCTTCTGTGCATATACACAGTTCTGTGCTACATGCTTTCATTCATTTAACAAACTTTCTTTTTAAACACTAGTGCTTATCAAGTACTGTGCTAGCTTTTCTTCTGAGACATTTTAAAGGATATTAAAAGATTTTTTACAATTATTTTCAGCTATTAGATCATGTTCTTCACAAATAAGAAATCTGAACTATGAAAGAGAATTATGTTAGTCTGCTAAAAATTAAAGTGATTCACCTGCATAATTGAAAGTTTGTAATCTTAGCATTAAAATTGGGCCCTAAGATATTAACAACTGGGAATATTAAGTACTGGAAATCAGTGAGGTAAGTTAGATTCTTTAGCCTAAGTTGTTTGTAGCAGTTCAGAAGAAATGGGAGATACCTCTTCTATAAACACCCAGAGCACTCTGTAGCTCCTCTATCACAGCATATCCCATAGTAATTTAAAATTGAGTGTACATCTCTGTCTCCTACCAGGGATAAGATCTGGGAGAATCAGGATCAATGACTATCTAGTCCACTGTACTCTCCCCAAAACTTGGCTTGGTTTCTAGCATGTAGTAGGCACTAAAAACATGTTCGTTGAATGCATTCAGACAGTGGTGAAAATAAAACTTAAACAGGATCAAGAAAGAAAAATAGGAGAATGTGAATGCCAGAAGAGAAGATTACAAAGCATGTAGTACAAAGAAATTCTTGGGGATAAATTCTGTTAAACACAGAATTATAGTATGACCCAGAAAATCCCTCTTAGGCAAATATCCAAAAGAAATGAAAACAGATTTCCATGCAAACACTTGTATACAACCATTCATATCAGCATTATTCATGAAAGCCAAGTGTGGAAACAACCCAAATGCCCAACTGAGGAACAATAAAATACACACATGGATTATTATTATCTGTCAATAAAAAGTGGGTAACTTGTCCAAATTTAGAAATTCCATCTTCCTCAGCATCTTTTTCTAGGGACATATTAGACTTGAGCAGAACACATAAGCCAATTTCAAAGAATGTGCTCTGTAAGTCCATCACAGCAAAAAATATTATTTGGAATTATCTAGAATCCCTAGTGAAACCTTTAGCAATTTCCCCCATAACCTCATTACATCTACAGTTTATGCATACCAGGCTGTGTCTTATTTTCTATATTCAGATGAGGATGACTTTTGTCACAACAGGTGGGTAAGAGGATAACTCTCCAGATTTAGGACTATAGGGGTCAATCTCCTCTCACCATTCACCATTATTACATTAAAGTTGGAACAGTTATTTTATTTAAGAGTTACATGTAAATTAGAATACTGTCCTGAGAATCTGCCCAGTCTACAAATACTGTGTAAGGCTCCCCACGGGGACAAAGAAGTTGTGTGATTCCTTTGTGTCAAGTCCCATGCGTTTTCTATTATCTATTTCAATCAACTTATGGTTCAGGTTTTTTTTTAAAGGGCAACAGAATACTTATACATGATACAACATGGGCAGATGTCAAAAATGTTGTACTGCACCAAAGAATGCAGCCACAACAGACCACAACGGTATGACTCCACTCATGTGAAATGTTCAGAATAGGCAAGTGGATAGAGACAGAAAGTAGGTTAGTGGTTGCTGAGGATGGCCTGGTGAAGGGAGAACATGGGGTGACTGCTAATGGGTACAAGATTCCTTTTGAGGATGATGACAATGCTATGAAATTTAGTTTATGGTGATTGCTGGCATAACTGTAAATATACAAAAAAACAGACTGTATACTTTCAATTGATGAATTTTATGGTATGTAAATTATATGTCAATAAGTCTTCAGTATCATCTGATTAAAAAAAAGTAAGTAGACTCACAAAAGAACAACAGGCTGTGCAAAGAGAGCCACTGATAAAAAGTTAGAAGTTAATTTTCCATGAATTGGTTAGGTACTTGGCCGTCCTTGGTCAGTTACACCTTTAAAGTCAAATGCTAGAAACCTTGCTGTATCATCTTATAGAACCTCAGCGGGGTTTTTATTCTTTTTTTGTGTGTGTGTGTGTCTCTTTTGTTCCCACTCTGGTGCTAAGAGTAGCAGAGACTTGGGAAGACAGAAAGCTAGCGGGAGATGGTTATATGCAATCCGCAATTTACGATGATTTCCCTTACAACTTTTCAGCCTTATCATGGTACAAAAGCGATACACATTCAGTACAGGCCATACTATGAAGTCTGAATTTGGGCCTTTGCCAGGGCTAAGAATTTTCTTGGACTAGCAATATGTGACAAGTTACTCTGTCAAGATGCTTAGCAGCTTTAGTGAACACTGCTCCCAGTCACATGACCGTGAAGGTCAACAACTGATAGCCTACAGTGGTCTGTGTTGCTAAACCATGATGTTTGGTAGGTTAGGTTATATTAAGTGCACTTTGACTTAGGATATTTTCAAGTTACAATGGACCTAGAGGCATCTGTACCCACTCTTTGGAAGCCGACAGTTGAGGATAAAATCCTGGCTCCTCTGGAAGCTTCTTTGACTATTTTAAAATAGACATATCTTTTGGGTTTTATTGTTTTTCTTTATGAAATTGGATCTCACTAAGTTGCCCAAGCTGGCCTCAAACTCCCAGACTCAGCGATGCTCCAGACTTAGCCTCCCAAGTTGCTGGGACTAGAGGCACATGCCAGTGTACCTGACTTAAAATGGACATATCTTTGATTTTAGTTAAGTACCAAGGATATAAAGTACAGAAATGTGAATATTTGCCATTAAAAGAACTCATGTCCTAAGGCAGAAACAGATTTTTGTGAAACCTGATGTTATTTCTCATTTTTCTCTGGACGTGTCACTTTCTTAACAAACAGTAACTATAAACTAATCACACTCCACAATTAACTACAAAATAAAACTGCTCAAAGAAGAGTTCGTTATATTTCACCACTTTAATCACTAGCTAATTTGCAGTAGGTGTGGACAGCTCACTCACCTGCTGCGTTGTGCTTATGATATTCGATAATCTCAGGAATTGAACCAAAAGCATGCTTTTCCGCCAGGTAATACTTCTTTGGAGATGTTACTGTTTCCTTTATGTGATAATGCCTGAAACCTGATGAACTTTCCCTACAACAAAAATCGACTGTGTTACAACCAAGTAATGTAACCACTCTTAGTTGCTTTCTCTCCCGGTGTAGCCCCTTCTGTTCCCAGCACAAATCTTATTTTCCCATGTTCTTTTTAGCTTTGCCTTTCACATTGACAAGTGGAAGTTCTGAAAAGTGGTCACCAGCAATATACTCGGCCCCTTGCATAGAATGAGAAAGAGGACATTTACCAGTGCATTCAGCAACAACAGAAATTTTTTGTTGTTGTTTTTGTTTTGGGGGTACTGAAGTTTGAACTCGGGGCTTTGTGCTTGCTAGGCAGGCACTTTATAGTTTAAGCCACACCTCTGGCCCTGGAAAGTCTTTAAGTAGCCATTGGTTGCTATCAATTTCAAGTGTCTAGAGCACTTGCAATTCTGAAACTGAATTGCAATTTCAAGTGAATTTCAAGTGTCTAGAGCACTTGCAATTCTGAAACTGGCTTATAAATGTCACCCACTCCTTCAGGTGCCGTTCTAGAACACAGATCTTCTCTAGTCATATCTTGCTAAAAATGTTTCCAGGATGATTCCCACTTCTGCAGGGATAAAGTTTGGACTTGACATTGAAATGACCCGGCTTCTGCTTCTGCTTCTCAGGCCTCTCTCCCTTCCTCCACTCTCTCTCTCCCATTCTACAATTTTTCAGTTCCTTGAACTCTCTCACTCCTGGTCTATGCAGTTACCTGAGTCAGAAACACAGAGATCTCTTACCTCCAGTGTTTCTCCCTTGCCTGTGAGGCCTCAGCTTGGATGTTACTTAGGACAACATTTATGAATAATTCACATTTGTCTGGTTATATCCTCCTGCTCACCACACACACACACGCACGTGCGCTCTGCCCTTCTACCATAGCACTTACTCATATACTTCCACACCTGCCTGTTAGCCTGTCTGTGACCCCCACTAAGCTACTGGAGGGCAGGGTCTTTGCCTACTTTGCTCACTGTGGTATCCTTAGTGTGCAGCTAGGCACATAATAATTATTTGATTATTAGGATGTTCTTAAAGTTCCTACAGCTATCCCCAACAAGTTTCTAGAAAACTATGGGGGAACTGAAAATATGAATACAAAAATAATGCAGACTTTAGAACTCAAGTTTGGTTTTCTTTCTTAAGGATGAAATGCAGCATCTTCTTTTTTTTTTAATTTTTATTTTTTATTATTTACATGTGCATACAATGCTTGGGTCATTTCTCCCCCCTGCCCCCACCCCCTCCCTTACCACCTACTCCACCCCCTCCCTCTCCCCTCCTCAATACCCAGCAGAAACTATTTTGCCCTTATTTCTAATTTTGTTGTAGAGAGAGTATAAGCAATAATAGGAAGGAACAAGGGTTTTTGCTAGTTGAGATAAGGATAGCTATACAGGGAGTTGACTCACATTAATTTCCTGAAATGCAGCATCTTCTTTTGAAAATTAGTAATACATACAAACAATACAGGCAGTTCACACAAAATCTCTAAATTAAAAAAAAAAAACATAAAACAGAGCAGGATTACTTACCCTCCAAACTTTGTATAAAGGGAGACTGTGTACAAGCCTGGTTGACTTGAGTCCCTTACCATAAAACCACCTTCTTTATCCTAAAATCCAAGTTAAGAAATTTAGTTTTTACTGCAATGACTAATATTGATACCACAGAGAAGATTCAAAAACACAGCCTTATAGTTTCAAGATTATTATCCTTTGTCTAGAAAATCTGCTTTGAAGACGCACAACTTACCAGAGCTCACTCCTTGGCTTCTCCCATCCATATGACTCCACCTCAGACTATGGGGCTGTGAGACTAAAGAAACAACTCACATTTCCCCCAACTGCAAATTCATGCGCGCACACACGCAGACATTTCAATAGGAGAAGCTCTCAAGGCTCTTCCAGACATGAAAGAGTCTTGTACGTGTGGGAAAAGTCACTGAAAAGCATTTTTTTTTTTAGCTGTCGATCCTCTTGCCTCCAACCCCCAGTTGTAATCCAGTGCGGGGATTACAGACCTGAAAAACTGCACCCAGCATCAAATGTATTTCTTAATAATTAGACTTCATTTCATTCATTTTTCACATTTGCTATAAGCTTTGAATCCTGATTTAACATCATTTTCTATCCACATAGCATTTTTCCTGTAAATATCTCTTTCTGTAAATATCTTAGTCTTTATAAGAAGGTACTTAAATGTCCTTCATTCCTCCAGGATTTGATATTAACTATCACTCCTTACAGAAGGAGAGATAGAGGTACAAGGAAATTAAATAGAGAAAATCAAAAGTTGGAAACAACACTGAATGAATTATGAATAAATCCTCAACAGGTTCCAAACTGAAGAGCAAGAAATAGAATTTACAAACCTCAAGTTCTTCTCTACCAACCACACACATCCAATCTTTAGCATCTAATTACTATTCTTATGCTTATTCATAGTATTAGTTCCATTTAATTCATGGAATTAAATAAAATCCCACAAATATATTTGATAAGAATAAATAGGGACAATAATTATAATAGTTGATTGACCAGAATGAAATAGAATAGCTGCCCATTTATTGAAAACCTATTCTGCTCTAATATGTTTTAATATGTGAAAGTATTGAACCCTCAAAACAGTCCTATAAAGTATGTATTCCTGTTATTCTTGCTTTACTTCACAGGTAAGGAAAGGCGGCACGGAAAGGTTGGAAAATTTCCCTCATGTTACATAGCTAGTAAGTAGAGAGCCAGGATGTGGACACAGGTCAGCTTGCTACCCACTCTCCTACAGCTAGCCTCATTTGTGGGGTCTCTAGGGAGGCACATAAGAATTCTATAGGGATGGAATAGGTAGGTGTAATTCAAAAGAACAAAACCACCTGTTTTTGCTTTTGTCACATAACCGATGGAAACAAGTACCCAACAAAACCTTGACTGGTGGTAATATGCAGGACAAAAAATGAGAAGAATGGATTTAAGACCTGGAACTATTACTAAACAGAACTAGATCACAAAAGCAGGGAATTGTAGAGGTCATCTTCTGATCCAACCTTCTTATCTTATGGGTGGAAAATGAGGCCTAGAAAAGTCACACTCAGGTCTCCTTTAGCTCAGTGCAGAGTTTTCTCTATACTGCACTGTGTCCTTTCATTTCTCTTTGAAGTATGACAATTTCAGGACATTTACTTCTATAGACAAATAAACTTCTAAAATTTCATTTGTTAAAAGCAGCACATAGTATTAATGTAAATTATTCTAAAATAAATAACTTAAAGCAAAAAGAAAACATACTTAAATACTAAAGTCAAGAAAGCAAGTGATAAATCGGTGAGAAAAAAGAAAACACTGTACATGTGTAGCTATTACCCATTGTTATGGGTTTGACTGTATCCTCCCCTCTCCCCCCAAAAGTTGGGAGAACTAAGCTCCAGTACTTCAGAGTGTGAGCTTATTTTGAGATAGGTGTGTACAGAGGTCATCAAGTTAGAATGAAGTCATTAGGGTAGGTTCTTATTCAATATGACTGGAGTCCTTATTAAAGAGGAAATTTGGATGCAGAGACAGACTAGCACAGAGGGAAGAAACAGGGAGAGAACAGCTGCCCCAAGCTAAGGAGAAAGGCCTAGAAGAGTTCCTCCTGTCACAGCCTCAGAAGGAACCAATTCTATCAGCACCTTGACTTTGGATTTTGATCCTCCATGACTGTGAGACAAAGTGGCTCTGTGGGAAAAGCCACTCATCTGTGGCATTTTATTATTGAAGCCCAGTAACATAACACCAAGAGTCTCTTCTAAGTGATGTGAAAAAACAAACACCCACAGTTTACATGATGGTATTTTTTAGGTTTCAGGAACAGGTATGTGGAATCACAATTTAAAGATCCATTGAAATTCATTTGTGCTGAAACTGAATCCACAAAATAAGGACAAATACTTACTTCACTTCTGAGGAGTTGCTCTGCCTTGCTTCTGTTTGTATTTCTGCAATACCATCTGAAGAGAAAAAGATACACCTAAGGTTTCAGATTTTTTTTAATTAATTTTTATTCTTAGTAGGATTAAAGGAATACAGCTCATTAATAATAAATACAATAAAAAAAGAACAAGACACCTCAGTAGACAGCCAGTAACATTTTGATCATGGGCCTGACTTTTTTTGCCCATACTTTATGAAAATATGTACGTATGCCCACATCCTTACTGCTTTAAGTTAAGTGGGATGAAGTTCTACTTTATATAACAATGTCACATAATAGATACACAAATCAACTTAGTTCTCTGTGTCTTGGTATAGATGTGTCATAATTTATTAAAGCCATTCTTCATTATTTAACATCAACATCATTTCCAATGTTTCCCTATTATAATCAAAGCAAGAATGAATTTTATTCCACTGACCCAAACAAATGGGAAATGTCACTTTACATTATTGATGGAAATTCAAATTAAATCTTATTCCAAGCTTCCATCCCACCAACATCTCAAATCATTATAGTGACTCTTTACTGAATTTCATGAAGGCCCCAAGTATCAAGAGAAAAAGATCAATACCTAAGAGCAGCCCACCCGGGTCTCCCAGACTTGCTGGTTTTCTACACCACCCAATCCCCTGTGGCCCCCCACCTTTCCTATGCCACCCACTCAAAGCCTTTATCTTACATGTTTTCCTCTACAGGTCATTTCATTTCTGCCAACTTCTTCCTTTAACATCTTTCCTCATATTAACCATCCCAGTGAACCTGCTTTCCTTTCTGGCGGGGGTTTCTCTAATCCTCTCCTCCCTTACTAACTGTTCTCTGGGTGTGGAGGTCAGAGCTAGGTTCCTGACAGCCCTGGGAGCCTGGGCTTGGCAGTCCTGGGTCCAGAAAAGGGCAGCTGTGGCCAGGGATCCTCATGAACCCAAGCAAACAGAATTGATTCAACAGCTGGCAGAAGGCTTTTTTTTTAAGATATGGAGACATGGAATATGTGTTACAGGATGGGCTATTTCAAAAACAAAAGAAAGTAAAACATAGCAGGAAGACGGGAGAAGAGAAGAACTCTCCCTTCCCACACTGGGGACGGCCTTCCCCTTGTCATCCGTTTCAGCATGGCACAAGGCCTTGTGAAATTCCTGGCTCTGATGCAGAATGCTTAGTGAACGCCCACACGGAGACCACACGCAGCAGGTTCAGAGTCAAGAGAGAGGAGGAAAATCCCTTAAAGACATCAAATTTCCAAATGAAGATACAACCAAAAATCGCATGCCTGTGAATCAGAAACTCAACAACTGAAGATCCTTCCTTGAAATCCTATGCCCTCCTGCTATGATTGCTTAGTCCTCAGTCCTAGCACTATAAACTAGGTTCAAGTGGTCAACTTTTAGCACTTCCCCTATTTCTAAGGTTTATACTGTATTCTCCTAAAACTTACTTAAAAGCAGAAATGCTACTTGATTTATATTTATATTATTTAAATGCATCACTTAATGTATAATGCATCTTGCATCACTCCATGAGAAGGAACCCTTCAGAGACATGTATCAGGCAATTTCTTGTTGTGCAGACATCATGGAGTGTACTTTCACAAACCTAGGGGTGGCGTAGCCTAGGTACAGGTAGGCTCTGTGACCTCAGAATCACCACAAGAACGTTTAGTACATGTTAGTCTAGTGTAAAAACCTGGCCATGCATGGCTACTGTGCATAAAAACAGCACAACTTCTTTGGAAAGTAATCTGACAATGTATGTCAGGAGTCTTAACAAAACAAAGTGCATACATTCAGTCTTTTGGCAGGATGAGATTTTTAGAGATCTAGTTCAAAACAATAAGCATGGTTATCCTAGTTATTTTTATATAGCAAAGATACTAAAAAAAAAGAAAAACAAAAAAACTAGTGCCTTACAAACAAGGAAGTGATTATGTAAACTGGTGTGCATATACCAGGACCTATTGTGATAGCACCTAAGATAAGAACTCAGTAAATACTTAATGAATTTATGACTGCATAAAATACAATGCAGTTATGAAAATATGTTCAAAGCACATGTAATGGCAAGAGAAAACAATAATACACTGTTAAGTGGAAAAAGATATAAAACAATACATATAGCATGAGTCTACCTCTTTAAAAATAGTAAAAAGAGCAGGGGGAGGGTAAAAAGGAAAGGTGAGGGAGGGTGAATAGGGGGAATGTATTTTGCATTCATATATGAAAATAGAATAATGAAAACTGTTGAAATTGTCCTAAGAAGAGAGAGAATGATGGAGGGTATAAATCTAATTAAAATATATTTTGAGCATCTATGTAAATGTCACAATGTATCTCCCCTATACAACTATTATATGCTAATACAAAATAAGTTTTAAGAAATCAACCTGAAAGAGAGGAACTGCAGTAGGAAAGGAACTTGAGACATCAGAGCCAAATGCAGTTGACCTCATGGTACCTTGATTCTACCAAAAGAACTACAAAACACATTTTGAGATGGACATGGGGCGGTAGGAATTCTTAACACACAGAAAGTATGGTTAATTTTGTTACACATAACAGGGCCACTGTGGCATTAGGTAACAAACTGTGTATGGAATTACGTTCTGTAAGTAAATGTCCTCTTTCTCTTTTGGAGACACATTAAAAAATGTAGGGGAAAGGTGACTTGGTGTATGAGACTTTAAATACTTCAGCAAAATATATAAGCTGGGAGAGAGACCTGAAGGGGGATATACAATCTGCAAGATGGATATTTGAGGTAGAGGGAATTTCTGCTTTTGATAAATTTAAAATTTCTTGCAAAAAATGGTCTATGGAATTATTACATGAATCTGTTCAAAACTATCTTAATATAAAATTATTACATCTTATATTGTCTAATGTTTTTTTACTTCTAATATCTGTTTAAAAATCATAAGATTCAACTTAAACATGTTTCCTCAAAAGAATCTCCAAAATAATCCAAAAAAACCATGCATGTCCAATTACAATATATTAACCCAACTACAAACCCCACACTTTTTAATACTAGAGAAAGGCTAAGAAATTCTGAAGATTTATTAGAAATATGATAGAGAACTATTAGCACAGTTCTTTGAGGTCTAGAAAGTGTATAATTCCTAAATAGCAACACAAGTTTGTTTAAAATGACTGAAAATGTGTGAAAATTCCTGGCAAATGAATTTTAAAGCATTTATAGATCTTATATTTAAAGCCTTGTTTTTTTAATCATTGTTTATAAAAGCATTTTGTAAGTTAGAGATATAGTTTCCCAACTTCAGGAATATTAAATTAAATGTATTTCTTTCTAAATGCATCTTATTCAGAAATAATACATATACATTTAAATTAAAAATCTTAATTCCTGTAAAACTTTTTACATCTCCATTTACTTGGCTGTTTAAGCACATATGCAGTATTTTTATCTCTAAGCAAGACCCACAAACAAACAAACTAAACATCTCAGGCTCTCAAAATATATTGATTTAGATAAAATCGATGAATTTACTATTTACCAAACTATATTAAAGGATAGTTCACCAAAAAAAAAAAAAAAGTAGAAGACTGAAAGAAAATATACAAATGTTGATGGCAGTCAGCTCTGAATTAGGCGTAAGTTTTCTTATTAATCTTTTTTTCTATTTTCAATGTAAAAGGACACTCAGAAATGTTTTTCCTGTACCTTAAGTGAATGAATAATGATCTGTATTTCAAAATCTGCTAAGCTCTGACTTGTTTAAAATCAATTCAATTGTGTCTGCTTAGCTAATTCCATTCACACATGGCATCTTCAGGATAAATGTATCATAGAGACTAACTGCCACAGTTTTTTACACCAGATTAAGTTGTAACCACCTTCTAAAGATAATGAAAGCTACCCATTAATCTTCAATATGTCATACTAATTAGGAAAATGAAAACACTTTCTGGTTTTCCACACTCACAAAATAAACATTTACTTACTCATATTGATCTAAGTTGTTTGATTTCTTTCCTGTTACATAGTTACTTGGGATATATCCTTCACTCCTATAAGCAAGAAAAATAAGTAAACAGAAATTGCTTTACTGAGAGGTTAAAGAAAGACAACTGACTTTCTGACATAACTGAGGCATACACCGTTCAAAGCTTATAAGAAAAACTCGCTAACTCCCTACTACTCAATGTACCTGTATTACTTGACACTTTACAAAGCTCTTCCACATTTGATCCTCACGAAAATTCTGGGGTAGGCAGACATCATTATATCCCTTTTCTGGTGAGGAGGCCAAGGCTCAGAAAGCTGAAGGTGCATTCTCAAAGTCCCAAAGTTAGCAGGCAATACGGCCAGAACTTGAACTCTGAACTGTGACCAGGTGCAGTGGGCACGCCAACATTCCATGATACTGCTCCAAAATTCACAAGTGGCAGAGATTTTAAAGAATCTATTGCTTCACAAAAGCAAAAGTGCTGGGTAACACCACCACTCTAATGCCTCGACAATTGTTGTAGGATGGCTTCATAAAGGGCAGTCCTGCCCTCTGCATTGGTGCCACTGGGGCACTTGTTAAAAAGGTAGATTCCTCAGTCATAACCCAAGAGATGTGAACTGAGCAGACCTATGTGGGGCAAAGAAACACATAAATTTGTATTTGAACCATCAGTAAGAACTACAAACACATACACACACACACACACACACACACACACACACACACACACACACACACACACTACTCTCTACTGAGAAAGGCCAGAAGCCATGACGATCCAAAAGCAATTAGAATCCTTGTAGCCCACTTGTTGGCTCTGAACATTGTATCTGACAGAAGAAGACAAAATTCCTTGGGAAAAATGTCAAGCTGCAGGTTTGGTGCAACATGAATTTGAGCAATTGTACTGAGCCCAGAAGGCTAAGAAAGACTAATGAGGTCCTCGACCAAAATCCCAAAAGCAGCTACCTACCACTAACCTAACATGGGACAATTCAAGCAAGTAGCCCAAAACCTAATTATATAAGCATCTGTACCACTAAAAAACAACAACAACAACAACAAAAAAAAAACCCAGAGAGGTCAGTCATCAACTCCTAGTTCTGAAAATTGGTAACAGTTAAGGATCAAAATTTGATCTTCCCTTTCCAGCTTTCCATGCCCTGCCACATTCTGACAGACAGTGCTACATCCAAGCCTGGCCTTTCCTATCATCAGGAAGGAGCATTGGTCAAGCTGGAGAAAAAGCTGGATTTTATTTACCAGATTGTCAGCCTGATTTATAATGACAAATAATGCTTGCTGTTTAATTTTCCACGTGTGTGTGTGTGTGTTGTGTATATATATGTTTTTACACACCCACATACATATATACATATATAAAAAGAAGTGAGAGAGAAATTCAAGTGACAAAGAGGCTCCCTTATACATATGCACATATACATGCACACATACATCGAAACAGAGAGATTCTAAGAAAATTACTACAGATTATTTCGTAGAAAACTTTAAGATTATTGGGTGGGGGGGTGTAGCTCAGTGGCAGTGTGGCTGCCTACCATGTGTGAGGCCCTGATGCAATCCTTAGCATAGAAAAAAATGAAAAGAAAAAGAAGGAAAAAAATAGAAAAATCTGAGTTTACTGACTGCAGGAGAGACAAAACATAAAATAGTAATTTTTCTATGGTTCAACTATAAAAAATTATACATACAATGAATGAGTAAGAGACCAATCTATTGTATTTTAACTTCTGGAAAGAAGTGATTGATCAATTTGCATTTATTGAGTGATCACTAAGAATCCACTGTGACACTGCAAAGTAATAATGTGTACTTTAATTTCTGGCCAACGGAACTAGTCTCAATACAACTAATTCCAGCTAACACAATTTTTCCTCAACACTTAACTCCCATCCCCTCCCACCTGCATGTCATACAGACAGAGTGGGAACACTTACCCATATTTATCTCTTGCTTTCCACCAGTGGACATCATTCTTTTCCAGTATGATATACTCTTGGCCTCTCTCCAATCTGAGGTCATGTGCTTCTGTTGCTTGGAAATCATACATTGCTACAACTATTTCTTCACTATTATCTTCTTCTTCAGGAGGAATAGGTGGAGGAGGCCTTCTCTAAGTAAAAAAGTAACATTTGAAAGTTCACTCATATATTTGAAACTGATCAGACAGCTAAACAATAAAACACTAAAGGGTTCACATATCGCCATAGAGCAACACTGAAACCACAAGTCTAAACTAAGTCACCTCATGTACTCTGGGGAACCCTCCAAATGTTTGATGGTATTGATGCTACTGGACTTCTGGGATTTAAAATACAGGGGATGAGTCAAAACTGTCTCTAAACAATAAAAGATGTTCTCTCAGAAGTTATCTCAGGGATAACTTCCTAGGGAGTAGAAAACAGAAGGACTAGAGATTGACCCACACCACCACTGAACTGGCCAGCAATGAGGGACAGTGCACCATGGAGTCTTTGTACAGGCCTCCCACTCAAAAAATTTGCACTTCTTTAGGTCTATGATGTGCAAGGAACATGCTTACGATCCAACACACTTTTCCTTATTTATTCTTAACACTGCTCCCAGGAAGTAGAGGAAGTATGATTGTGTTAACAATCCTCCCAAAGACACTCATGACAGATTCACAACAGCTCAGGTCCTGACAGGGTCTCAAGTGCATTGTTTTTCTGCCCTACCCCACTCCTCAAAAGCATATCATCCTTTCTATACCATGGTCTTAAGACTGAAATATTCCTTTAATGTCCCAGATCTTTCATACAACTCCGTAAGCCAAACTACAAGCAAAATGGCAGATAATAGGACCTCACTAATAAAAATCTATACTGTTAAACTGACATTATTTGACACCAAGAACAATTCAAATAAGACATAGCATATATCTGCTCCTAAGATAGTCCTGGGGGAAAACAGTGTTACATGAATAAATATAATCATATCTAATAAAGTACAAACTCTTACAAAATGTAAAGATGCAAAGGCTGAAAAACTTCAGACTTAACTCCCAAAAGTGAAAGACCACCTACCTTCTTTCTTTCTGGTGCAGGGGGTAGAGCTTTTCTTACACCTGAAAATACCAACAACAAAAGTAAGTCAACATGCTATCTGCCAAGTAAGGATAAGACATAAGACATTAGTGGTGGAACAATAAGGATAAACACATAGAGAGGGGACACGCTCTGCCCAACTCAGGTGTGTGCTGCTAGCATCACAGTCTCTGTATCCCCACCACTGAACAAATGGTCTCAACTATGCAAAAATAAACTGGGACTAGGGTGTAACTCGGTGGTGGACAAGTACTTAGCATGCTTGAGGCCCTTGGTTTGATCTCCAGTACCATAGTAAACAAATGAACAAACTGAATTAAAGAATTCCCCCTTATCTATAATTTCACTTTCTAAAGTTTCAGTTACTCTCATGGTATAAAAATATTAAATGGAAAAAAAATAAACAATGGGTAAGTTTAAAATTACACATACTCCAGAGGTGCGTGATAGCACCTGTCACTGTCCTGCTTGGTCCCTTCCAGGACATAAATCATCCCTTTGTCTGGCATATCTATGCTACATCCACTACCCACCCCATTAGTCACTTAGCTGTGGTGGTTATCAGATCAACTTGTGGCGACATCATGGTGCTGTGGTCTACCAACCCTGACTCCACTGGCCTCAGGTGCAAGAGGAGTGATGCAGAAATTTGGATGTGCCAAGAAGAAGCTGCAAAGTGCTTTCTTTAAGTGAAAAACTGAAAGTGCTCCACTTAGTAAAGAAAGGAAACAAAGTCATATGCTGAGGTTTCTAAGACCTATGATTCAGTAAGAAATAGAGAGAGGGCTGGCTGAGTGGCTCAAGTGGAAAAGCATCTGCCTAGCAAGCGTGAGGCCTTGAGTTCAAACCCCAGTACAACAACAAAAAAAAAAAAAGAAAGAAAAAGAAATAAAGAGGCGGCCTATTCACATAACTTCCATTATACCACATCGTTATAACCATTTTATTAGTAGGTAAGTTTGTTAATTTCTTACTGTGCCTAAATTACAAATTAAACTTCATGACAGGTATATATGTATAGGAATAAAACCAAGGTATACATAAGGTTCAGTACTATCAGTTATTTCAAGCACCCACTGAGGATCTTGGGGTGTACCCCCTGTGGATAAGGGGGACTACTGAAATGACAACACTGAGAAATGAATAAACTCTGGCAATCTGTCCCTTTCCCCATAGCCCTACAGTTTTGACTGGCACATGGGTACCCAAGCCATATGGACATAGGATAAATTTCTAACCAAAGGGCTCTGTGTACCAATAAATGGGCTGTGCCATTTTTAGACCTTGTCCCTTAAAGAACTTCTTGTGGGCATCCTTGACCCCTTTCTTGCTTTCTGTTGCCAGAAAGAGGGAGATGCTGCAGCTGGCACAATGTCGGGAAACACCTGCAGGACTACTCCTGCCAGCCCTGGAAGTTATCTACCTCTGGTGTTATTACAGGAGGCAAAACCAAATTTCTCCTTAAGTCACTGTAACATCTGGGTCTCTCACAGCAGGTTAACCTGTGCCTTATCTAATCCTAAATGCTATGAAATTGAAAAAACAGGAAACAATACCAGCCTTGGAAACATGGTCCTTTCTCTTTAATGTGCTGAGTTAATGTTAAAAATCCAAGGAGAATCGGGGCAGAGAGGCTCATAGGATTGAGAGCTATCCTGTAATGCAGCATCGGCCAAATAGCCACCTGTTCATCTCCAGAGGTAGTTTTAAGCAATACTGGAGTTTAAACTCAGGGCTTCATACTTGCGAGGCAGGCTCTCTACTACTTGAAACATGCCTCTATACCTTGTTGCTTTGATTATTTTAGAGATGCAATCTCTCTTTTTGCCCAGGTCAGCCTGGGCTGTGATCCTCCTATTTTATACTTGCTGGGATGACAGGCACGTACCATCACACTTTTTTTCTGCCAGGACTGGCCTGGAAGTGCAATTCTCCCAACCTCAGGCTCCCATGTAGCCAGGATTACAGGTGTGTGTCACCAACTATTCAATTGATTCTGATTGACATGACATGGCGCCATCAGGAATAGAAGTACAGGTTACTCATCATCCTACAGCACTAGTAATTTTGAGTCTCTGGGTATCTTTTGTTTGTCTTTGTTTTTTAAGACTGGGACCAGGCTCGCCTCAAACTTGTGATCCTCCTGCCTCGGCCTCTCAAGTACTGAGATCATACTACCACATACAGCAGAGTCTCTGCATCTTTTTGACTTATAACTCAGAACTTCTCATTTCCAGAATTTATAAGGGTCTTTGTGTTAAAATTAACCCTGTCTGAATATTTACACAGGAGCATTACTATGATGCCTTACTGATCTGACAGATGGGGAAGCCACTACTAACTTCATACCACTAAGACCCATCAAAATGAGACTGGTCCCACCACGACTGCAGTGCACTGTTCTACGGGGTTTCCAGCTTCACTTCTGGGAAGAGTTTGTTGACAAATACATGAACATTTAATGAAGAAAAGCTGCTGCTGATGCCAGATCAGGTTCACACTTTTAATAATCACTTTTAACTGGCTTCATTGCTGTGATAAAAGTCCCCCAAAGGAGATCTTTAGATGCCAGAAGGTCTCACTGCTAACAAAATACAATTATTCTTGTAAAGTATACCTGTCCTACATTTATGCTTCTCTACAAAGTGTGCCGCACTTCATCAAAATCATGTCACTTTCTCACGATATCAATGATACGCTTATTTTGAGCACAAAATAATTAGAGGATAAGATAAATACTTACTACTCTCAAAAAGATTATATTTTTCACATCCCGGTGCTAGTTTTTCAGTTTGTCTGCAACACTGATAACTTCCATCTGCCCAGAACTTAGGGTGATATTTAACCATAATGTTATTGTTGTTCTTTATCTCTGTAATTCACAGACACATTAATGGTTAGTGTAATGAAACGCACTACGATGTGCCTGGTAAGTCACACTGTCGATCATCACCTCTTCACTGAATATCATGTTTATTATGAGAACAGCAGCGTAGTGTTATACAACCCAGCATTCAGAAAAGCCAGACGTTCCTCTTTTGCTCTGTTTGGTGAACATCCCTGTGAGCGGAAGCGACCACTGCTACTCCATGATGGACAAGTGTCATCCCGCTACCATTTTGTTCCATGGGAGAAGCAATGAGGATTGCATAGGGCAAACTGCCCATCTGAACACTTGACATGTATGTCAGTCCATCCACACATACTGAGTACACAGGAATTTCTTAGAAAATTGCAACTCCTGTTGTTATACAAGCCCATGGCTCATCACCTTCAAATATATCACACATATCATGGAAGCATATTTTTCTTACAAGCAATATGCCATTAGAAAGAATCAGATCTCATTTTTTTTTTATCATAAGGCTGGGGTTTGAATTCAAGGCTTCATGCTTGCAAAGCAAGTGCTCTACCACTTGAGCCACACCTCCAGTCCATTTTGCTTTGATTACTTTGGACATGGGGGTCTCACAAACTACTCGCTGGGGCTGGCCTGGAACTACTATCCTTCTGATCTCAGCTTCCCAAATAACTAGGATTACTGGTGTGAGCCACCAGTACCCAGGTCAGATTTTAAAAAGGGAAGTTGTCTTCAATATGTTGGTAACACATACCATAAACTTCCTTGGAGAAACACTTATTGTCGATTAAGAGACTATGAATGCAAGAGATACAGTGGCTATGTTTCTGTTTTAATGATAATGATGTTATACTTCCTAAAGTTATGTACAGATTGTTTCATTACATGAGTTTTTACCTTCTTTTAACTTCTTCACCCAACGGTCCCTGCTTTGTGCACTAGGTGCAAAAATATAAAGTGTGTTAGCATCATGAACGACCTAAAAAACAAAAAAAAAAATGAAATTAGTGCCAAATATTTAGACATAGCACTTCCATCTAGCATAGAGCCCTGATACCACAGGCACCAATAAGTGGTTCTCAAATGGCTAAATAAAAAGGCGATTTCTTCAGATACAAACAAGTTAGAACTTTTTTCTTAAAAAAAGACATCTACTTCTTAATTACTACATCAAATAGGACACATATTGTGTTTTTATACAAGAAAAATGGATATACACAGAGACCAGGATGCTTTATTACTCTTGGCATTTCTTTCTAACTGATTAACTTAAGTTCCTTAGATAAACTTATTCCTAATCTAGTAATTTTCTTTCTTTCCTTCTTTTTTTGGTAAGACTGGGGTTTGAACTCAGAGCTTTGCTCTTGCAAAGGAGGTGCTCTACCACTTGAGCCACACCTCCAGCCCATTTTGCTCTGGTTATTTTGGAGATGGGTTCTCATAAACTGGCCTCGAACCTTAATCCTCCTGATCTCAGCCTCCCAAGTAGCTAGAATTATAGGTGTGAGCCACTGGCACCCAGCTCCAGTAATTTTCTAAATGATATTTTAGATGAATGGACCACTGTTTCAGCATCACTTCTATAGTTTCCTTTTGCAACTCCCAATAATTGAAGTGCTTTATTAAACACCAACTTCTCCAGCTCTAGGCTAGGTGCTTCATAGACACTGACTCTATTAGTCCTACCATGAAGGTATTAGCATTGCCATTTTACAGATGAGGAAATGAAGGTCTATCCAAGGCTCTTTATTCCTGGGAAACTTCAGGGTCACCATTCACACAGCAGGCACTACAAATGGTGTCCCCTAATGTTGTGCCACCTAACTGCCCATTGTCATTTGGTTGGTAATACAGAAAGCCAGGATTTGGACTCCAGGGTCCAAGCTTTTAACCAGTGCCTCTTTTAGAGGTAGCCTCTGGCGGGCAATTAGTCTTACATCCACCTACACATTTTTGCTGCACTGGGGTTAAACCCAAGGCCTCGTGCATGCTGGTAATCCCTCTGCCGCTTGAGCTATGCCATGCCCCCAGCCCTTTTGTATATGTGTGCGTAGTACTAAGGGTTGAACTCAGGGCCTTGTGCTTGCTAGGCAGGTGCTTTACCACTTGAGTCACCCCGCTAGCCCTTTTTTTAATTGGTTATTTTTAAGATAGGGTCTCACTTTACGCCTGGCCGGGTATAGCCTGGATGGTGATCCTCCTATTTTTGCTTCCCTGTGTAGCTGGAATTGTCAGCACAAGCCACTGCACCCAGCCTTGATTGGAGGAGGGTCTCATGAACTTTTTGCCTGGGCTGGTCTCAAACCATGATCATTTGGATTTCCACCTCTCAAGCAGCTAGGAATACAGGCATCAGCCACCATGCTTGGCCCTGTATTTTGTTTTTGAGATAAGATCTCACTAACTTTGGACTCAAACCTGTGATCCTCCTACTTCTCCCTAGAATAGTTGGGATTGCAGATGTTTACCACCATACCTGCCTTTATTTTTATATCGTTTATATTAGTAATAAAATAAGCCTGGAAAATTATCCCAGCAATTTTGTCATTGTCTGTCACTTTATCCCTGATGGTCTGTCAGAAGGCAGAAATACCTTGACTGGCTAAAAGGTAATACATCCTATAAACCTCCCTTGACCACGTCAATACGCACTAGGATTGAAAAACAAACCACTATCTCATTGATCAGTGGCAGCTCCTGATCCCGTTCAATAGATTATTCCTTCTCCATTTCAATCAAGTGCACATGCTCTAACAGCACGTGAACATCATAGAGCAAATAACACTACACCATTCAGCGTGCTACGAGGACTATAAACCAACAATCAATCAAATAAGAAGCCTACTTCCAAGACCTGCCTACAAATACCTTATCAGAAGACAGATTCTGAGAAACATCAGAGACAAAGTGCTAACAGAGATGGAGGAGCTATGTCTCCATGTTTGCTTGTGATTTTCTCACCACACCCAGATTTGTTGGTACAAAAGAATGGGTTAAAATGCACCATGGAAGTTATTCTAAATTGACAGTGACATGTCTGGAAAGAGATATTAAGGTTTCAGAAACCTGCGGTGCATTACAATAACAGTTTGCTTCAAAACAATACTTTACTAATGCCCTACATTTTAAAAAAATTTTTTAATTATTCATTTATTAGCATGTGCGTACATTGTTTGGGTCATTTCTCCCCCGTCCCCCTCCCCAACCCTCTTCCCCGCCTCCCTCCCTCACTTCCAGGCAGAACCTGTTCTGCCCTTATCTCTAATTTTGTTGAGGAAAAGACATAAGCATGATAAGGAAGACAAAGCGTTTTTGCTAGTTGAGTTAAGCACAGCTATACAGAGAGATTCCTAGCATTGCTTTCATATACAAATGTGTTACAACCCAAGTTGATTCATCTCTAACTGATCTTTACACTGGTTTCTGATCCTCTTCTCATGTTAACCTCTGTCGCTTTAAGGTTTCTTCTGTATTAGTTCCTCTGGAATGGGGACATCAAACGCTTTCATGTTTGGGGTTTTCTATCTATTCCCATATCTCCCTTATGTGCTCTCCCCTTGTCATGTGACCCAAGTCCAACCACATTGCTGTATTTGCCCTAGATCTAAAGTTCACATATGAGGGAGAACATATGATTTTTGGTCTTCTGAGCCTGGCTGACCTCGCTCAGAATGATGTTCTCCAGTTCCATCCATTTACTTGCAAATTGTAAGATTTCATTCTTCTTCATGGCTGAATAAAATTCCATTGTGTATAGATGCCACATTTTCTTAATCCATTCATCAGTGGTGGAGCATCTTGGCTGTTTCCATAACTTGGCTATTGTGAATAGTGCTGCAATAAACATGGGTGTACAGGTGTCTCTGGAGTAACCTGTGCTGCATTCCTTTGGGTATATCCCTAGGACTGGGATTGCTGGATCATATGGCAGGTCTATGTTTAGATTTTAAGAAGCCTCAAAATTTTTTTCCAGAGTGGTTGCACTAGCTTGCATTCCCACCAGCAGTGTATGAGGGTTCCTTTTCCCCCACATCCTCACCAACACCTGTTGGTGGTGTTTTTGATGATGGGTATTCTAACAAGGGTGAGGTGGAATCTTAGTGTGGTTTTGACTTGCATTTCCTTTATGTAATGCCCTACATTGGTTTAAGCACTTTACATATGCTGCCTTGTTTAAGCCAGGTCTGTGTTAGCAAACTGAAACTAGCTTCATCTATTACTTCACTAACTTAGGGTATTTGCATTTCTGTACAAAATTTCTTTTTCTTTTAAAGTTTATTTTAGACATTTTTACTAGTATATGATGGGGGTCTCATTGTGACATTTCCATATGTGCATACAATGTACCCCAATTTGGTTCATTCCCTCCATTAAATCTCCTTCTTCTCCCACTCTTCTTTACAAATTACTCTGACAGGTTGCAATGTTCCATATTCACACATGTATATAAAGTTCCTCAACCATGTTCACCCTCCTTTGGCCTCTTCATTTACCCTTCCTTCCTGCTAGTACCCTCCCCTTAACATAACATTTTACATTCCTGTCTTTCATTGTGTTAGTGTCTGCTCATTGTTCAGTGAGTGGGGTTTTGCCTTTGTATTTTGCCTGTGAATATATTGTACTTTAATCACTCTAACCCTTCTATGACGCTTCCTTATCTTTTTTCTCCCTACACTATATTGGTCAACAGTTTTCAGTGAGTTTCATCGTGTCTTGTTCCTATACAGATGTGATATAGTCCAGGTGTCAGTGGCCTGTAATCCTAGCTGTTTGGGATGCTGAGATTGGAGGATGCAAATGCAAGGTCAGCCTCGGCCAAAAAAAAAAAAAAAAAGGCTCCTGAGACCCCATCTCAATGAAAAAAAAAACACCCAAAAACTTGGGGGGTAGAAGTGCACACCTGTCATCCCAGCAATGGCAAAAAGCTAAAAATAGAAGCATTGTGGTCCAGGCCAGCCTGGGCAAAAAGCAAGACCCCATCTCTAAAATAACCAGAGCTAAAAGGGCTGGAGGAGTTGCTCAAGTGGTACAGCATCTGCCTAGTAAGCATGAAGCTCTGAGTTCAAACCTCAGTACCATCACCAAAAAAAAAAAAAAAATCTAGTAATTTCATCCTAAACCCAAATAATAAACATCTAATTCTGACATCTAACTTTAACAGTCTGGGTAGATATTTGGGGGCCAGTATCCTTCCTTCAGCAAACCCCAGATCACACCACGTGGGCCACCTTCCATGCTATCCATGTGGACAGCTCCCATGGCAGCTCCTGTGGATGTGGGTAGCCAGGTCTTTCATGTGACCTGAGTCTTCTGGTGAGTCATCCTACAGTAGCAGAAGTTATTGGGGAGGAAAGAGCTCAGCAGACTCTCCTTGTTAAAGTACAGAAGCCATTCCAACAGAGAAAATATCTTAGTAGCACCACTAAGTTAATAATTCCTCCCTCCTATTTATATCATTTTTTCAACAGACTTTTTTTTCAGTGATGGAGATTAAACTCAGGACCGTGAACATGCTAAGCAAGGGCTCTATCACTGAGCTACATCCTCAGTCCATTCAACAGGCTTTTAGTGACACTGTGGTATAGAGAAACAGCGCAGATGTTAGATAAACAGACAGATCTGGGTTTAAAATTCGAAGAGGTCATGCCAATTCCTGGGGAACCCCCAGCTGCCACCAGCCAATGACTCATGTAAGGAAGCACAGAGGAGGTATCCTACTGGCATGGCAGCTGCTTCCTCCCTATTTTCTCCATCCCTTCTTATGGCTAGAATATGCTGGGAGAGAAAGAAACCTCTTTTTTTCTTTTGCTATCATTTGAAAATGTCTACTTCTCATTTTTTTTCCATCTTGCATCTGAACTCGATGCAAAATTTCACTGTAAAGATGTGAACACAGGACCTACACTTTCTTAGTGTAGGTACACTTAAGTTATCAGAGAGGACATTTTTACCTTTGAAATCCTGTTGGTTTAATTACATAGTGAAAGCTCAAGTTTACCTCTTCTTGATTAATTTTTAAGATTTTTTAGCTGCTCTTCAATTTGTTCATCTCAACAATTTAAAATGGTTCAAGGATGGAATGCTTTCTGTTCTCCTATTTCTAATCATCATTCTTAAAACCAAACTGAAGCTTACAGAGTGGATCTCTTTCTCTTATAAACATTCTAATTTTCAAAAATTCCTAATTCTGAGCCCAGGATCATGAGGACTAACATCTTCTTCCAACTACCTACCACCCTCTAAGATGTCTAAGAGCCATCAGAAGTGTGGCTAACCCTCAAATGTATGCTTCAAATGAAATTACACACACACACACACACATGCACACACACAAACCCCATCAGAGATGCATCCAATACACTTAACCAAGAGATTTAAAGGCGGCTCACTTCTAGATCTGGGTGGTAGGTATAGCACTAGTAGCAGCAGCAGTAGTAAAAGGAGTCGCAATAATAGTAGTGGTAACAGTAACTAACTCCATCCTTGCTCTTGCTCTATGTTTCCACTATTTATATATCATTTCAGCTAATCCTTACAACAACCCAATCAAGTGAATGCTATTATTGCTATTTTCATTTTTCAGAATAGGAAACAGACATGGAGCGGGTAAGTACTTACAGGAAAGTCACAGTGACAAATCACTTTGTCCTCAGAGTCACCTCCTTAACCACTTTACTATCCCTGCTCTGCTCTTCACTCAGAGAAATGGTAGGTATAAAATGAGGAATAAGGAATAGGAAATTTAAACATAGTCCCTCCTTCTTTCATGTTATTGTCACCAATATTGTCTCTGGAAAATAACCAGAACAGTTTTAAAGCTTAAATATTTTATAGCTCACTGCTTCCAAATGATTTTTATCTAACCCCCCCCACAAACTGGTAAATGTTTATTTCAAATATAACCGATAATTTCATAGTAACAGTTAAAAACAAAGAAAATTACCCTGCAACTCTACCCTGAAAGAGATTTTTGCAGCTTGCCCTTATGTCATGGTGAGACCACAGCCCTGGGTAAAAGATGACTTTCACTTCAGATATTCTTTACTAAAAGGAAAGCATGAAAATGCCTTTGACCAGAGAAGGAGGTGACTAGGTGCTGGAGGGGTGGCTTGCTTCCTGGCATAAGCCCTAGAATATCAGGGTCCAATGTCATCCTCCTGGGTTCTCAGGATATGTGGGCATCAGCATCTGGTCCTGGGAGTGGAATGGCTCAAAGATGGTCATATTCATCCTGTGGCAGATAGTGTGTGCTTGTCTGTAAAGCTTTTAGTTCACAAAGAGGCTCTAGATGAGTCATTTGACAACTGTGAGCCTCACTTTCTTTAGTTGTGACAATAGTGTGATATTCCCCCCCCTTGTGTAACAGAATCATTGTAAAGAGAAAAAAAACTGAAATAAAACAATCACCCTTTAAAAATACAGTTTAAACAACAGATAGTATGATCTATTTTTCAGCACAAGCAGCCCTTCCCTCTCATTTCTGTTGGAGGGTAACTTGCTCTCACCACTTCCCAGCTTCCAAATTCAGAGAAATCTTCATCACACTTTGTTCAATTCCAGCCCCCACTCCTTATTCCAAGCACTTAGTGATGCAGCAGGTAAGACCTGGACTCTAGACCACTGGCAGAATATAACGACCAAAATAAGGATAAATTAATGTCTCAAGCAATTACTATTAAAGTGACGAATGAACCTAAAAATCAGCCACCAAACCAGTGACAAGAAACAGTAATGCCAAATAAAAACAGGACTAGGAGCTCAGCATTGCAACGTTGCAAAGATATGCCAGCTCACCTGAAATGGGTATTTATTCTGACAGGGAATGAAGCCATCATCATTCTTCACTATCTCCACACACTTGATTTTTGCAATATCAATAAACCCCTTTCTGTATTTTTTCTGTGAAAAGAAAAAAGGGGGAGAAGCATTACAATCATAAAACATAAGAAAGATGTTCTTAATGGCTACGTTTGCTGATGGAATCACTGATTCAAAGTACTGAGATTTCCATAATAATTGCCTAAATCATGTCTCCTTTTAACTGTTCAAGTTGTTCAAATTATTAACAGCATAACGACTGTAATCAAATTGTTAAATCCTCCCATTGTCCTTGCCTCAAAAAAACTCCAGAACAGAGAAATGGACTGGCTTTCAATGCTGCCTTTCCCTCTCTCCCAGATGTACACCTTGTTAAACTTCTTGACAATAGTGCCCCCAAAAGAAAACATCAAAGAGCAAACCAAGCAAAACTCCACTTCTGAGCCACAAGTGCAAACTCCAGCCAGCTGCATTTCCTCCTTCTGCGTGTAGGTGCCTCGGGGCAGGTACCACCCAAATACCAGTGATGGATGGCAGACTTTAGGGATTCATGCAGGGCTCCCACTTGGCTCCAGTGTTGGAGGCTCTGCTTCTTTTCCCCATCACCCTCCTCCCTGCTCACTACAGATCCACCTGCCCCAATTAACTAATGGCATAGCAAGTGCATCCCCCAAGTCATCCACAGCCCTGAGCACAGGAATCTCACATCTGGGAATTTATGCTAGGGAGAAACCCAAAAGAATGCAAAGCAGTATGTTCAAGGGTAACTTTTTACAATGCCTCCATTAAAAACTTTTACAAATACAATGTAGAAATAAAAACATTTGCTGAATAATATTAACTAACACACTTTCATGCAAAAAGTTGGATGAACACTGAGGTTGCTTTTTTTGATAGGCATTCTTGTGAATTTATCCTTCTTAAAAACAGGAAAAAGGAGTGAATAAAGACCATCAGTGTATTGGAATGAGTGCCCTGGTCTTAGCCACTTAACACTGCTTCATATGATCCTCTGACATCACTCCTGGGCCCACAGCCTGTTGGCTCTCCACCCCTTCCCCAGGACCCCACTATGCCCCCTCGCTGTTACAAGACTGTCACACCTGTCCCTCTCCAGGTCTGCAGCAGCAACCACCTGCCCAGATTGACTGGCTGTCATTTCACCAGTGCATTCTCAACCCTCTTCTCTTTCCCTTGTCCCCTTGACATACCTTTCCCTAGTCCCTTCATACCTTGTTGCAGAGGGTTGCCTAAACTCTCTACACCTAGCCAGGCCCTCACAGCTGCTTTTCAGTTCTTATGTGCATCTCCATGGAGTCCACCAGCCCTGAGGCCCTTTCCCAGACCCCACCTTCAGTGGACCAGCAGCCATTCCTAGCACTTGCTCCCAGTGCTCCTCCCAGTCTCCCTCCTGCAGTTCAATCAGCTCTAAGATCTCATACTTTCTCTTCTCTTTCATTCTATCTCTAGGAGAAGGTAAAGAGGACACACAGTGGAGAGCCTATAGCTGGTATTTAACAGATGCATTTCACTCTATGTCCACAACATCCCTGTGACAAAGGCAACACGCCTCTAATTCTACAGATGTAGAAGCCACAGCACAGACAAACTAAGTGCATGACCTGAGAACCTCAACTGATCCAAAGCCCTCTGGATCCTGGGATGCCCCAGCTATAAGGTGGCAAGAGGATTATAGAGCCAAGTCCCAGAGGAGGTAGCAGAATTCTAAGCATGGAGTCTCTCAAGTCTAAGCCAGGATAGAGAGGAGGGCATTCTCCAGGCTATTCTATTCCAAGGAGGTACTTCCCCTGTCTGCAGATACATTCAGGCTCCCAATTCAAACCAAGAAGCCTCCTTTCAGCCCTGCTATTGCCTTCACTCCTCTCCTCCCTTCCTGAAAGAGAAAATGATTGCACCCTCAGACTTCACTTCCTCCACCCACTCCTTCCTTAACCACTTGCAATTCACTCCCCACCTCACAGACCTAGTCTCACAACCATGACCAAACCCAATGGCCTTTTTGAGTTGCATCTGCTTTCTGAGCATTCGAGAGTAAGACACAGTCTTCTCCCTTGGTGGCCTTTACTTAGGGTCATCTTGCTTTTCCTTCTCTCCTTTCCCCGTGGTTTCTCAAACAATACCTGCTTTGTGTCCATACCTATGTCGGGGAACCTAAGATAGGAAAAGCTAATTTCCTGAAAATGTAGTCTTGGAACTGATTGAGCCATTTTAATCCTCACGGTTACCTGGCAAGGTAAGGCTTACTATGTCCATTTTACAAAGAAACTAAATAACTTGCCCAAGTTTCCCTATGAGAGAGTTGGACACAATAATCATTATACAATATAGTAATTGCTATATATAAAAAGATGCTAAGAGAGCACAAAAAACTATGAATTACCTGTCATAGGATGAGTGGTAGAGAAAGAAATCTCTGCACAATAAACAATACATGCAAAGAAAAACATTCCTGCATGACCTCAATTTCCTCATCTGTAAGATGGGAATAATAATAGTATCTGTTCCATAAATTTGTTGTGAGAGTTAAACGAGTTCATATCACAAGGTGCTTAAATGAGTACCTGACCCACTGAACAAGACCTACCAGTATTTGCTAAACGAAAACAAACAAACAAACAAACAAACAAAACAAAACAGTACCTAACTGACCAGATGGCTAAAGGATAAGGCAGAATGGAAAGGTGAGAAGGGGTCAGCTTGTAAAGAACCTGCTGTGTGGTGCAGGGGTCCAGTCAGACAGGCTACCCACCCAGCTCCTGGAGTCTACACCACCTAATGGGCAGAAGAAATTGCCAGAGCCTCCTGTTGGCAAGCCATATGTGCTCACTATAGAATCCTTACAAGATCTTAATAGCACGAGGAAGAATGGAATGACCCCTAGTCCCCCAATCCTACAGGCAGTCTCTGTTGACACCCTACACTTTCTCCAGGCATTGATCCGGGGGCATTTCTCACCTTCCCTGGGCACAGCAGGCTATGGTCTCCTTCCAAAACACCCATGTCCAACTGCCACAGCTACTAAAGGCAGATGTCAAATATGAGTCAATCTACACAAAAAAAGTGGGGATGACTTTGATATTGAGTTAACTTATGCACTCTAAATTCATGCTGTGTGACAGATAACCTCCTGCTATTTAGACTTTCTTATCCAAATGTCTTCCTATAAAACTAGCAGATAAAGTTCAAATTAATACCATTCATTCATTACTTTATCTAGTCTGGCAGCAAACAGTGATCACACACCAACAAGTCACCAAGCACAGGGCATGTGTTACAGTTTAGGGACTTAGAATAGGATCTCTCCAAGGGTATTTCACAGCAGTCACAATAATACAGTGGGTGGAAGGGGAAGAAGGAGATGATTCCCCACATAGTAGTGATAAAGTCCTGTGATCTCGTGGCATGAGGGGGGTGGAGCAGTGATAGGGGCAGGAGAAGTAGGGAGTTTCAGGGAAGAAGTGACATTAGATTTGGTTGTCAAAGGATAAGTAGGAGTTTTCCTGTAGAGAAAGCAAAGAGTGTTCCAGGCTGCAAAAATGAAGGAGCACTAGGTATTTAGGGAACTGAAAAAATTTCACTATGACTGAAGCTCGGGGAGGCTCAGGGGAAGTACCGGAAATGATGCTCAAGAAGGTTGCCAAACAAGGATGCCAAACAAGGTTGGTTGAGGCCAAATTAGGACAATGCTTACAAGCCAGACTCGGGAGTGGTTTTAACGGAGGAATATGGAGTGCTATACGTGTTTGAAAATGTAATTATTAACGTCAGCATGAAGGATGGGGGTGGACCAGGAGGCTAGTTGGAGCTTGCCATGTATGTTAGGTGGGGAGCAATAAGGTCTGAAGCAGTAGCAGTGGTACCAAATAGAGAGGAAAGCACAGAGTGCAGAGAACTTAGGAAGCAGAGTCCATGAACCTTTGTGACCACTTAGCCATGGAAGTCAAAAGTGGAGAAGTTAGGAGACTTAGGGATTTTGACCCTGATAGAGAACACGGAAAGGCAATCTGGCTGAAAGGCAAAGCTGGGAGATGTCTGAGTGACTTGTGAACGATAGGCTCCAAACATCTGGAAGGAGTGGAAATCCTGGGGCCAGAAGTCAGACATGCTTAGCACCTTGTTTATAGTTAGAGACAGTTCTGCTTCTCACATACAGTATACTCCCTGTACCTCATTCCGGGCACTCTGCAAGGTGACCCTGGAAGAATAGGCAGGGCTGAGGAAGGGAAGGCCTGGAGGGTAAGACTAGCAGTAGGGAAACCCACAGTTACTGATAAGGCTGTGCACTTCCACCCATGGCCCACTTTAGGTCTTGGCATGCCAGACTTCCTAGCCATCCAGATTACCCTTTAGGGATACTAGTAGGAGCTTTGAGAAATGCTGTGGGTTTTTTTGTTTGTTAGTTTTTTTCTTTTTGGCAGTTTGAGGGATTAAACTCAGGGTCTTGAGCTTGCTAGACAAGCACTCTAACTATTGAGCCCCCAGTCCTTTTGCTTTTTGTTTGTTTTTTATCTCATGTTTTGCCAAGGCCAGCCCTGCACCTTGATCCTTCTACACAGTAGCTGGGATCACAGACTTGCTCCACTATGCCTGGCCCCAGGAGATGAGCTTTTAGCAACTACTGAAGTTAGCACAGAGAAGGAACATATAGTTTTTTCTACATTTAGGTAATTCTCTAGAATTTCTCTCGGAAAGAAAATTAATTCATGATTCCTGAAGTATGCTACAGATTATCACGAACATTGTGGCCAAAGTTGAAATATCCAAGTCACTATTTCTTTCAGGTAAATTTCCCTTCTATTCTACATCTTTGCCCAGGCTACTACACTGAAAATCATCATGAAGCTGTGACCTCCTCACACTCATTTTTGAGCTCTCCAGGCTATGAAGACAGCCAGGCACTTAGCAGATGTTAATTCAAGAGTGGAGTGTGTTGAGCCAGTATGCAAAAATCTGTGTGTGTGTGTGTGTGTGTGTGTGTCCATCCTTGCACATGCTCTGTGTACTTTGCAAAGCTTAAAAATGTGGGAAGCAATGACCACACTCAGCAGAAGAGGGGAAAC